TGAAAACATAATACTACAACCACTACTACTACTAATAATAATATTGATAATGATTTCAAATTTAAAAAGATGTCATCCAAAAAAAAAAGAGCCAAAATTCTGGACATCTACATCCTCACATGTAGAAAATCCATGTATATTGACCTTGGTAATGTTTTTAAGAGACATAAAAGTAAACATAATCTGATATGTTCTGTAGATAGATAGATTACTTTATTCATCCCCAAAGGGAAATTTTGGTAATCAGTGGAGGTAGTAATAAATACCTTAGATTAAATTTCTGTGCTTATTACACAAAAAGTAAATCAGTAGATCAGAAGAGTAATGTAGGATAAACTATGTTTGACTCATCCAGATCATCACAGAGAATGAAAAAAGAGTTTCCACCCAGGGAAAAAACGTCTCTCTTCTCATATGTAGCTAAAATCATCCATCAAGTGAGAGCCCTGAAGTATCTGGAGGAATTTAAAACAGGTGCTGCACAATTGCTTCGTCCACAGTGGGGGAGAAAGAAAAACACCCAGCCCTCCTGCAGGCACACAACTGACAGAACATCACATTCTCGAGCCAGCTGTGTAGTCAGTCCGGGGATAGCATTCAGCATGTGTGAAGTATGCATTCAGCATTTTCACTCAACTAACCCTCTGCCCAAAAAACAAAAGCTACCCTCTGCCCGGCATTGTTTATTACCTGTTTGCTCCAGTGCTTTACTGTGTCAGTTTTACACGGGTGAGAGAAAAGAACAGAAGGGGAAAAAACGAAAAAACAAAACAAATTAAACAGTCTTAGACTACTTCTTGACACCTTGTGTGTTCTTCAAGTGACACCGAGGCATCTGGCGTGGGTGTTTGCATTGAAATTCTGGCTGCAGATTCAAAGTGAAGACTTTTTTTAATTGAATCCATTTTCCTGTCAGTGAGGCTGAAATGTACTCTGGCAGGAAACCAACCCCTTTTTAAAAAATTTTGCCTCAACAAATGATCACATAAAAACACTGAATAATAAAGTTATAAACTAACAGCTGATAATAATGTGTTATTACACACTATTTGTGGTTTTGGATTGTCTATTAAACTTGAATGCTGTCTTCATTCCAACAGTCCAGCCCTGAGCACCGGCACAACCCGAAACCTATTTTCATGCAACAGTATACACATTCACATCCCACAGACAGCAAATTGCTTCTCTGATTCCCCGCCACACCCTGCTTTCATTCTCAGCCACCTGCAAAACAAACTGCACTGGAAATATCACTACAAATTACCTTGTGTCTGCCAAATCCCCCTGGGAGCCCTGGAAATCCAAACCCTGGATCTCCCTGCCCCCACAGGGCCAGACCCCGTCCTCACACACAAACCATCTCACCTACATTCTCCCTCATACGCCAACAATAGTTTCTTTTCCTCCACTCTGTACAATTTCTTTCTAGTGTATCTCAAAGTTCCCATCTCTACCTGAGAGCATTAATGCGGCTAATTTACCATAAAAAGTGGAGCAACTATCTTCACCTGAAGGTTGATTTGAATAAAAGTGTGCAGAGGTGAAGAAAACACAGGTTCCCTGTTTACTTTCAACAGGACGGGAACAACATGGGCCTCCGTGGGTTTAAAGTCACTGTGACATTGTGAAACTAAGCCTCCGTTCCTGCCGAGAAAGAGTGAAAACTGAGACCTGTTTCGCTTCATGGGAAAATCAAAGGAAGGCACATACCTTAGCAGTGAATAATGATCAACAGCATAAACCCGGCAGCAGCAGCAGCTTTGCTGGAGCCACAGTGCCTCCTGGTGACACGGCTGCATCACTTCAAACAGACAGGAATGTCAGAGAGAGAGAGAGTGTGAGTCAGTGGCCAATGTGCCAGAGAGATGAGTGTTGAAAGCTCCTTGGAAAAAGGATTAGGAGTGTTTATGTTGGCCAAGTGGCCCACTGCCAGCTGCTCGAGTGTGCAAACTTCTTAAAGCTGCAGAGCTTCGGCTTGGCCATGAATCTTTTCACTCTATTTACCCTCTTTCCCGGATTGTAAGGATGGTTGTGCTTTGTTCAGGAGAAAAAGTTAACCCCCCCTCCCCCTTATCCCACCTCCACTCCTACCACAAGAAAACGCCAAAAATATGCTGGGTTTGGAACCTGCTTTTCAGAGACACCAACCCCCGAAACCCACACAAAGCGTGTGCTTTAATGTACTCATTGCACATTCATTTATATTCACCCTAAATACACACGCAGTATTCTGCTCGATAAAAAAAAAAAAGTATAAACAGCAGGATAAGACTCAGCCTGGGAGCTGGCCAGGAGCCAGAGCCCTGCGGCCTGGAGCTACATCAGAGCGGGGTGCGTGAGCTGTCGTTATGAAATGAGGGTCTCAGGTCAAAGAATAATAAAAGGCAGCCTCAGCTGCTGAACAGCAAACTCCAACTTCTGCTCCTCTGTCTTAGAAGCTTGCTTTCTCCCACACATTTGCTGGCTGTGCTGCTAATATTTGAAGAATAGGACTTATACGTGAAAATGTAACCGTTATAAGCAGTTCAGGTTCCTAAGCTTTCCAGCTATCCCTGATCTTTAATGTAAAACAGAACTAAAAATATTGCTTCAGTGAGTAGTGCTTTTTTAGGCTTAGGCATACTGTACAAAAGGGAGAAAAAGAAAAAAAAAAACTCAGCAAGATCAGAAGCTAAGTTTCAAATGAGTTCAAGCTGAGCCGTTCCAGTAGGGACTTTTTATATCCACTTCTATATAGAAGTACAAATCGCAGGCTTATTTTAGATTTTCAGCATGAAAAACAGGTCTAGTCCTGATTTTGTTTTCCTCCAAACGCCAAGTTGTGAGTTTCTTGGAGATTAAACATTTTATCTATGAAGAGATAAAAGAGGTGATGACACTGCTGTATCTGATTGGTGAGGTATACCAGCAGCCAAACGTTTCTCCCCAACTGTTTTAAAGCATTATATCTTTCAATCATTAAAATATCTAACTCACTCTGTGACCGAAACTTCCTGAGTGGAAAAAAACAAACAGGTTAAAATCTTATCAGATTGATTCTCACAGAGGCAAGTTAACAAAAATTGTCTAGCTTTCTCTAAAAAGTCACAACAACCTTTAGATCCTAAATATTTGGGAATCAAATCTTGGAGCACAGAACGTATTCTAACTATTCCAGTCAATTAATTTGCATTCAGAAAATTTATTTGAAAAATTACAATGTAATCAGCTAGTGTCTAACCACAGGTCATGTAAATGTAACTATGGAAAATCTTTTCGATGATCAGTCAAAATGGAGTTAGGCTGTTAAATTCTACTTAAGGGCTGAAGGTTTTCTTTACAGTGAAAAAATGCCAATTCATTCAGGACATTGTGTTGCCACATTGCAGTTAAAAGTAACCTTCTCCAAATCTTTTGGAATCATGTTTTATCTGCTGAACTTATTGATTCTCGTCCGGGCGTCTGAATTCCCCCTGAGGAAGACCTCCCAGTGGTCTGTGCCCTTAAGGCAGCTTGGACTGACCAAATGTCAGGCTATACTGAAATAAACCGTGTCACTCCCCTTTGGCCCCAGTCAGTTACACCTTTATCAAGACTCACAAGCTCGCATGAGAAGTAAGTATGTGGAGCTGAGAGCTGATGTTTGAACTTGTTTGCTCTGAGCTGTCATATTGACCTGAGTCAGGAGGTCAATATGTGCTTTTTAAAATAATGAAATCATCAAGCGCTCAGCCCAACTCATCAGAGAAACCAGAAACAGAGTATCAGATATCTGTGCAGCAACCACTGAGATATTTTTAAAGCTTTGGGTGCTGCCCTCTTTTGGGAGACGAAGGGTATTGCGAGATAAAAAAAAAACTATTTCATGAAGCACATGGTGATAATTTCCAAGAGTATACTTGCCATCTATGCTAAACATCTTGTTCTACAATGTAGGTTTTATATTTAATGTATTATTATTCTACATGTACACTATATGTGTGGCAATCATCTGATAAACAATCATATAGCCTAAAAGATGACACAGACACATCAACAAGTTCAACAAGGTAATTCTTTATAAAGTTCACATTTAAATTAGAGCATGGTGAATAACTCTCCTCAAACTGTCTGTGAACTGGCTTGTTTGATGTGTGAATAATTATTTTAATACTCCAGACACAAAGGGGACAAACCTTCCATCTGTTCATGGCAGACTCAACGGTGTCCAAACTCAACATCCGCTGGATGAGAGACAGCTTGAGGCATCGAATGTGACACATAACTCTGGCAGCTTCCCAAAGAGAAGTGGCGTTTCTAAAGTGAATCGCCTTGCACTTAAAGGATGGAGGAGTTTCAGAAACACTTTCTTATGAGCGGAGCACGATGCACCACACTTACTGTAAACTTTATCACACACTTGGCACCGTCAGGCCCGAAGAACAAGGCACGAGGTGTGTGGTGGCAACTAAAAAGATGAACACACACAAGCAAAAAAACCCTCCATGGTTTTGGTACCATAAATATACATCTCTCATTATGGCTGAAAAGCTGAAAAATATACGACTAAAGCTGGGTTGAATCATCTAACCTAACCTGATGTAATGAAGGCCGCAGCAGAGAAAGTTTGTGTGACCTGAAAAATATCACAATACGTTTTTTCCCCTCCAAAGAAATGATTCTTTTATTTAAAATTTAGGGTGTGTCTTATGGGGAGGTTCTGCTTACAACTGCTTAAATACTTCATGGTGAGAGCAACCCTGAGGAGTTTCACAAAGGCAAAGATTAGGTAAACATTATTTATGAACTGTTAGGGGCCCTAACCTGTTAACAGCATTATGCAGCCATTTGGCTCTGCTTTCATACAGTTATTAATGCATGTGGTTCAAGCACCTTAGTCATGGCACAAGTGGGCGGGGGGGGGTTACTGCTGGTGATTAGACAACCTGCCCAGCATAAAATTATTCAGCAGTTTGGCTTTATTAGGATTGTCATCGATCAAATACAGCTGTCTGAAAGACGTCTCCAGGTTCCTGCTTCCTTTATCCCGGCTCCTCAAACTGCTCAGCTCCTTTCGTGCTCAGGCCTGTTCCTGAGACATGTGACGGGGAGGTGGGTGGTTGTAAAGCACCATCTGTGGGTGAAGCCACTCCTTTATCTTTAGTTTTGAAATAAATTACGTAAAATAGTGGCAGGACAATGCCTATGAGGAGCATGGCTATCACAGCATTCCACCACTGGATGCCCCAGTCTGCACCGTGACCGGTCAGGCGCTTCCCCCTGAAGCCAAACCTTTTGGTTTTCTCCCCATTATCCAATAAATCCCCACCGTGGTCGTTGGTGGTCTGAATCAATTTGTCGATGTCGTTATCCACCTCGATCAGAAAGTCTGTGACCTCCTGTAGGTGTGGCGGGGCTCGGGCTCTGTCCCCATGGCTCCCCGGGGCGGCGGAGGATGGCGTTTCCTCCGGAGGATCGAGTCGTTCTGAGGAAGTCTCTGTTAAAACGCTGTGTCTCTGAACCGGTATTTTGATCGATTTCAGAGCAAACAGATCTTGCTCGTGCATGAGGTTGTTTACCCGCTTTATGTCCGCCACCTGTTGGCAGAGACGGGAGTCCCGAAATAGTCACAGTAAATAGAGAGAAACCCCCCCCCCCCCCCCAAAAATGGAATGTCTTTACCTTACAGCCGTACTGCAGAGCCAGCTTGTTGAGATTATCCCCATCCAGAAGCTCCCGCTCCAGCAGCCGGACGTTCCTCACTCTGTCCTGGTTGCTCCGCCTGATCTCCACCACGCTGAGCTCCTCCTCGTCTGAGGACGCGGCGCACTCCTTCGGCCTCCGTTTGAACATGTACACCTGGCCATCAGCACTGGCGTGGACGTCCACTGGGGCCTGGAACGCCTGCGGGCCGTGCTCGCCCCTCCACATGACAACAGACCGGCCTGAAGGCGTCCCGGTTCCATCATCAAAGAGAAGAAACAGAGATGTTACACACAGTTCTTGTTTAAACAAGAAACCGAACTACCTGAGGACCAGCTGAAGCTAGATTTCTTGATTTGACACTGAGATGGTCTTGACCATCTTGGGGATGGGAGGACAGTGAGCAATACATGCAGACTCTCCAGTCAGAGAGCAGAGTGAGGAGAGGTGCATCATGGGAGCTCCGCCTTCAGCCTGGGTCTATAGCAGCAGAACTATGAGATGTGTCGGCGCCACCGGAGCTAGCCCTAACTTTAAGCTTTGTCAAAACGCAGGATCTTAAAGCTAGAGAGGAGCTCTGCTTCCTGAACCCAAACTGGCAGCTGCTTCCACAGAGAGGGGCCTGATAACCGAAGGCTCTGCCTCCCATTCTACTTTTAGAAACTATTAAATTGCACCAGTAGACCTGCGGCCCGAAGGCAAAACGCTCCGAATGCATCTATTGCATTTTTAAGATATGATAGAGCTTGGTTAGTTTATAGCAGAGGAGACTTTAAAACTCAACCAGGGAGCCCATGAAGAGAAGCTAAAACTGTAGGAAGTTTTCATCAGAATCTTTTTCTCCTTTCTGTGCTCAAAATAGCCACCCCTAAAACGTGGAGAGTGCCAACCGTGCTCATGCAGAGGGCTGCCTCTGCATCCAAATTCACTCAGCTAAGCTCTGCTTTATACTGGTTACTCTTCTTCATCCATTTGTTTGCGATGGCTGGCTTTCAGCCTTTGTTAAAAAGAACACTAAATTAGTGATAATAATTCGGCTATGTAGAAAGTGACCGGGCTGCCTCTCACGGCCTCGGTCACATGACAACCTTTAACCTCATTTCTGGAAATGGGACCCTGGAGGCAGACTCTCAGGGAGATATAGCTGAAACCATTTGGAATCGTGATCCACTGTAAGAACGTATTTGGGGTTTGGTGGGCACTTTGTTGTCTTGTTGCATTTCTGTCTGCGGCCTTAGAAAAAATGTGTGGGTCATTTTACTCTCAAGTATTGACAGCCAATTCAGTTAGACCCAATTATCATCAAGAATTTAATTATCCAACTATTTAATGCAACAATAATCTTGACAATTAGTAAACTGGACTGCTGACAGAATAATAAGATCACATTTCAGAGCACTGTCTAATGTGGGTTTTTTATAATTCCCCAACTTATGCTAGAAATCATGTTAGTGTGTGGTATTTGTGTGCCTTTTTAATTTGCATCAACATCTCTGCCCTGAGGCCCGCACCAAGCATAGCTATTAGGTTCTAAATGTCTTCTTGACTTAAATGTCAGTGATAATGGGATTGAGACTTCCTCTGATAACCCAATTCATCTGATTTCCATGTTCTATATTTGCTGCTATCATATCTTTGTCGACCCCAGTAGGGTTAGGGTCACTCATGTATTATACATAACCACTGCCTGACTTTCATTCATTCTGATTTTGTCCCTTTTATTAAACCATGACCGTTTCAGAAACATCCAAGTTGTCTGTTGACTACAACCGGTCCAACTACCCAAACATCAGTCCAACACATCGAGAAAGAATGAGCATCCAGACGTCTTTGACAGACAAAATAAAAACTACCCTCATTTTTGGAACAATCACTATCATTCAGAACTTTCCTGCTTTTCTCAGTAGCTAAATATCAACACTTATTAGTGGGTTTTGACCAGTATATTTCAAATCCTCGAAAAGAACCAAGAGTTAATATATTCCAGCTGCTCCAAAAATACATAAAACACATAAGCAAACAAATAAAAAGGGTCTTATGTCAATAAAACCCTGCAATGGTCTCTTTAAAAAAAACATGAAGTAAATATTTTGCGACCAACAAGTGGCCTTCAGTCACCCGCGTTGCCCAATTTAATTATTCAAGGACTTTTCTATCCACATTGACTATATACTTTAAAGCTTTTAATGCTACAATTTGATCTTTAGTATCACCTCTGAAATATATGTTTATAATATTCCGATATGTCAACAACTGACGTGACAAGTCAAGACGTTGTAGAAGTTGTCTGAGCTTCCCGTGAGCACTTGAATGCAGCATCAACTTCTGCTAACAGCAGCTAGCTTTAGCTTTTGACATTCAGCATATGTTTACCAACTATGCGACCCGCTTTATTTTCAGCTACAGACCCAGAACATGCGCTTGAAACCAGAAGGATGCATTCTACTTACAGAAACCACACTTTCATCGACTTTTAAAAATTCAGATTGAACTGTTTCAACCTGATTACCTTCTGCTTTGGCAACAGTTAGAGAGAAGCCACCGCCTTCACAAAGCAGGAGTATTCCTCCTCACAGAAGCTCGTTTTTTCATGTAAGTTTTCTGCCACTGCGGCTACTGGTTAGCTCACTTCTTCGTCTTACTTACAAGGATGCTGACATTCAGAAAATGTGCAATATCGCCACCATTGCGCTGTGCAGAGTAACGCGCTACGGAAACCAGCTCCACCAGATCCCCACAGCTTAGGCCAACATTATTAAAATAGCTCTTTTCTACGTTGAACCTTCGTTTAGAGATATTATATGACACACACGATATATTGTTGTCATGTTGTTTGTACTATTATGAAGCCTAATGTGTCGTTGTATAATCTGTTTAACATTTTGAACATTCAAAAGATAGTCCTTGTTGTGAGTGTTGCATGTTAAAGTTCAACATTTCTGGCTTTAAGCTCAGCTGATGCGTGGTAATGCCACAGATGAATCTTTTATGAGACTCTGCTGTCAGTCCATTGCTTTTACATTAATTCTGACCAGAATACATAGAACACACGACCAGTGGACTGTTCAGATGAGGCACACTTTTAATGTATTAAATTAGGCTATATGAAAAAGTCATAATGGTACAAATACTTTGTTCCTTCAGATATTCTGTTAGTAAAATACAACACACTGTTCAAATACACAAGAAAGTGTCAACATCTAGACTTTTTTTCTTCCATTTAACATTATATTAAAATAAAGGCTGCTCGGAAAATAGAATGATTCAATTTAGAGTCTTATTTCTTTGAAACATTAGAGGGTATTTTGCAGAGAATCGCCCACTTAAGGCCAGTGAGGTACTGGAGTCGGCCCTCCTCCTCCATTCTGTGTTGTTAAGTTTTTCCCAAGACTGCAGCACAGCCTTTTTCTTTTTTTTAATCAAAAAAATAAACAGTTTCCTAGTAATATAACCACTTGTTGGATTATAAAAAACGGTATAAAGTCTAAGCCTAGTGAAAGGGCAATAAACAGTTTCATGCTCAGAAAGCAACCGATTTTTTAAAGCATCACTTCAACCAAGGAACCAATTTTTGATTTTACAAACGTAAGAAGTAAGGATTAAAAGGAAAAAAAATTGAATTGCTTCAGGTTTTAATTAAAGGTGAAATCAAGGTGAACTTGTTGCTATTGTCACGTATCTCCACCTGAGGCAAATAAACTTCTGTATTTTTTCTAGTGACAATTAACTTTTACCTTCTGCAAAGGAGAAGCAAACGAAGGCATCCAAATTGGCACCACTAACATTAAAGACTCTACAGCAAGGGACTGAGGTATCCCCCTTAATTAAATATCAATGTTAATTTGGAAATGTTCAGATGATACAATAAAAAACCCTCCCTGTCCTAAGAAGAAGAACGGAAGTCCCCACTTTGACCACTAGATGGAGGTATTGCTCCTTCAAATGAGTCCGTTACCAAAGGACTGTTAGACATCTTATTCTGTTGATAATTTAGAATATTTACCGGTGTAGAATAATAAAGAGTCAGACTGTACCAGAGATGCCTTTTAGAAGCCATCACAAAACACATAAGAAATCTAATATTCACTGGCTCACAGTAGTTGTGTGAGGAAGAAAGTCGAGAGCTGTGCAGAGCAAAGGTAACGGCCAGAAAGGATCTAATTGATACAAGCACAGCAATAAAAGTTCATTCTATTGACGCCATCATCAGTCACCAGAGCTGCTGTGTCCTTATTTTTGACAGAATTGTCAAAAAGATCCAACCGGCTTAACATAGGCTAATCTTTTGGCATATTTAAGGGATAGTGGTCATCCCAACTCAGAAATGCTGACTTAAAACATACCATCAGTTACTAATGTAGAATACTAATATTTGTTCATGTAGAATAGTTCCTCCTGAGGTGTATGATTGTCAATTCTAAAACAATGTTTTTTCACCTCCAGGTTGAACGGCCTGTGCAGGCACATATGTGCTTAACCACACTAGCAACAGTGACTTTGCCGTAGAGGGCCAGTAAAGTGCATTGTGATAAACCGATAAAGGAAAACGGTCACATAAAAGCCACAATAAATGTACAAGACGTGTCGGATCCAAAATTATTCCTGAGGTTTCTTCTCTTAAAGCTTTTATTCCGCCTTTTTCCTCATTTCAACACTTACTAATCGTCCACAACATGACTGAAGCGTTGTTGTACATACATAACCTAAAGCGAAACACGATTAAAAATGAAAACTATGTTTATGCTCCCAGGATAAAAAGCTCTGCTGAAAAAAATAAAAAATAAACTAAACACAATCAGCAAGAACCACCCCTCACATTTTCCCACTCTCCTTATTTGCTGAGAGCTTTCCTCTCCATGTCGCTGGCGCTTATACATCATGCAGATGTGGTTCCCAACTGGACCAGCCTGGAGGTTCTCCTTGGTTATTAAGTACAGCTCCATACCGACAGAAAGGTTTTTGTCAAAGCTAATTACTTTTCTATATTTAACTAATTTTAGATATTTTTCATTCATGTTTGTCTTCAGTAATGTGAATCTAAGATTAATATGCTCTGTGTCATTTATGTTTGACCAACTTGTGGAGCTGGTTACCTTTCTCTGTGTCTCCAGGTGCCGTATACGACACACTGCACACTGCTTGCAGCCTCCCTGTAGTGCTAAAGAGTACTACTTTTTAAAAATTTCTTAATAAGATGGTAATCTAGTTGTAATTAACTCCTACTGTACAAGGTGTGTGCTAAGAGAGGTTAATTAGACGGAGACTTTAAGTTTAAATGAAATATCACAAACCTCAAA